GAAGAAAGAAAAAGAAACAAAAAACTCCCAAGACATGCGTCAGAATGAAGCTGTAACGCAGGTTGAAGCAGACCAACAACAAAGAAGGGTAGACGCAACTAAACTTCCGGAAAAATGTGCCAAGGCAAAACTGGGCTTCATAAAAAAGGTGAGATAGAAATCAAACCACAGAGAATAGGCGAAACTAGGCTCTGGAAAAGAAAACATACACGGGTGAGGAGGCGAAACTCTGAGCTTGACCCAAAGCAAAAGTGGCTAGAGTGCGTGATTCTAGGAGCACTTGCTAATCTAAACTAAGATAGACAGTATGAAGGAACTGAAAGAATCTCAGAAATGAGGAACAAAAGCGAGGTGAAAATCGACTCAATAACCAGTTAGACGAAACTAAACCAGATGAGTACCAGGGCAAGACTGGATTTCACGCACGGGTAACGAGGCGAAACTCGAACCATAGCAAAAGTGATGAGAGTGCATGCTTCTCAGAGCACCTACTGGTCTCAGGTCAATGGATAAACAGTGACGAAAACTGATAGAAGGATCCAAGGAACAAAAGAGACTGATTTCAAACCAGGGATGCAGTACGAACACTGCACTCGGTAAACGAACATCGTCAAAGAGTCCAAGGTATGAAAGCAAAAACGAGACGAAACTCGACTCAATAACTAGTTAGGAGAAACTAAACTAGATGAGTACCAGGACGAAACTGGATTTCATGCACAGGCGAAAAGGCAAAACTTGATCTAAAGCAAGGAGATTAGGGCGTACACCTAAAAACCTACTGAAAGCGAATATCAGGACGAAAATGTTATTCGAAAGGTGCATCAATAGACATTGGAATGAACCAGAGAGGGTAGTGAAGACTAAACCCAAGAAGACCGTGCCAGGGCAAAACTGAACTGCAGTCAATAGTAGACACTTAAAAAAACAAATGATTGATGTCAAAAGGATATTGGTATGGGGATGAAACTGAGATAACGAGGACGAAGACCTTGCTGGGGATTTAATCCGAAGTATTAGCAAATTCACTGGGGACAACAGAAGCAAAAATGGCTTATGTTCTGATGCATTTTTGAATTCTTTTTATATAGCGCAATGCTCTATATAATGGAAATGCTACGCGTTTTGGTAGATGCAATGTAATGATGCATGTTTAAAGTTTCACTGGGGAATGGCCCATTGAGAAGCCGATAACCAAGAAGTCAGAATCTGACAAGACTTGCAAAAATAAATTGCAAAATCCCAAGGAGAGGAGGAAATACGGGGAACCGCTAGAGAGGGAACTCTGAAGAGATTAAGCTTCACGGGGAATAACAACCGAGCAACTAGTAGAAACGGGCCACAAACAAAGAGAGGAACTGCAGAAATAAACTGCAAACTCCTAGAGAAGATCAGATCGATATTGTAGCTTCTGGAGAAGATTAAACATTGAGGGAGATGATCAGGGAAAGACTGTAAACTTTGGAAAAGATAGCGTGCGACCATGTTGAGGATGACACCAAGACAACAAACCCGACGTGAAGGGTGAAAACCTTTGCTGGAGGAGCAAAGCTTTGCTGAGGAGACAGGACTTCACCGAGGATACAAAACTCTGTTGAGGATTTTTTTGTTGGCGAGATATTTTCTCTTGGAATGCGACCATTGGATGGATCATGCAGATAGTCACACAGTATCGACCTTATTGGGGATAGGGAAAGATCTTAACACAAGGATGCCCCAGTCAACAGACCGGCTGGGAAATGAGAGGCCATGGCGAGGGATCTCTGTTGGCAACTCTGTTGGGGAGTTAAAACTTCTTCAGAATGTGAGTTCCCATTTAAACGACTCCATTGGGGATGTGCGGCATACCCAAACTTGAAGTCTTAGAATGAAGCTTTTGAAAGAAGATTCGTGGGGTAATAAATATTTGCTGTGGAAACAAAACTTCACCGGGGATAAGAAACTTCACTGGGGATAAGTAGAGTCCTAATCATACATGGGCTCTGTCTAACAGAAGAAAGCCAAATATTCCCTTTCTGACAATCATTAAGCTCTTTATAGGTGTTCAACGTGTAAACTCTTTTTTGATGTCAAACAAATGTTTTGCATGCAGAAAAATGTTTATTTTGAGAATGACAGATATGATGCGACGATCATTTGGGCCTTGAAATTGAAAACCTTAACAAAGTTTCGCATCTCTGTTGTGAATGAATCATTGGCTAGAGTGAAAAAAAAAATTTCAAAACTTTTCTTTCTCCCCCCCTTTTTTTTAGAAAACGAGTCAAGATATGGGTGGTAAGATACCTACACGAACGTGCAACACATATTTGGGAGTTTAGGAAACATCATCCTGTTGTAGTATGCTTTCGAGTTAAACCCTTGTTTCAGTTAGGACTTTTAAAGGTTGTAATGTGGCCTGGTTCGAGGGTTTTTTAGAAAAAAGTTTTTTCGAGGCTCAAGTTATTTGGTGCCCACCCCCTTCGTGATGTTCTCCTGTCCTAAGTTCAGCTGACTTATCACAAGCATTCATCTTTCAAACGAATTCATAATGGTTGAGTGATCACGACAAATTCTCCAACATGATTGTTACTTTTGCTGCTTTTGTTTTGATATTATTGTTCCTCTTCTTTTGATGAAAATTTTATTGGATAATCTTTTTCGTTCTTTTAGGCTCTCTTTTCCCTAACTTTTGCCTGGACAAAAACTTTTGAATTTCAATTTTGGGAGTCCAGCAGGATGCCCTAACTTTTGCCTAAGCGACTTGTTTTCAAGTTTCGACTTAGCAGGGCTTTTTGTTTCTTTCTTATTCACACCTTTCCACTTCGAACAAGTCAACATGACTTTCGGACTTTGAACTTTTTCTTTTTCTTTCTGTTTCTTTTCTCTTTTTTTTTGAAGAAATCAAATGCCTCATTCCTTGGTCAGTGATGGATAGCCATTATTGTATTGATTTGATCTCGACCTCATGATTTTGTGAGGAAATGAAAATCATGGTTTTGACATTTTTCCTGATCTCATGATGCGAAAGATAAAATGTGATGATCCTCAGATGGGACATTCCTTCTGAAATTTGAATGCTTGGTCAAATCAACTGAACATCTACCTCTCCCTTGGTAAAAAATGTTTTTTTTTGAACGTAAAAGAAACTCCTACTTCGAAGGCTCAGAGGGGTTAACGAGGGTCTATCTCCCTTATATCTCCGGTGTTTGGGGATTGAAATAATGCCTGTACATCGTCAATGGGGTTCTACTCAAAAGAATACCATTACAGTCATCTTTTTTAGCTAAACTCCCTCCTCCAAGCTCTTGGCTAAGCAAAAGAATTGGCACAGTTGGTATCAAAATGCCCGAAAAATCGATTTAAAGAGTGGTACAGGATGGATTTAAGTAAAATAAAACAAAAATTTTCAAGGCAAAAATATTCAACGCATCAAGACTGACATTCAACTATAAACAAAATCCTATATGCAGACAATGCTAAAACAATCAATCAAGATAACACATGAAAGTGTGGCAAAGAAACGTAATAAAAGCCATTATGAGGAAGAAATATTTCCAACTAGGTTTGCCGATCTCGCTGACCTGCCGTAATCTTGATATTACCCTGACCCATGACTTTTACCAACAACACGGAGTTGCGAAACAAAATTGGTAAGGCATCCGCCAGCCAAGTGACTAAAAAATCCATCAATCAGAGAAACAAACATGCCCCTTGCACAATAGTAGTTGTGTTTGTTATCCGCATTTCAAGCGATCAGCTAACCATGACTTGTATTACCATTTCTGTGTAAGGCCCATGAAGTTTATATGCTCATGCTTATCAAAAATATTGGACGTTTTTGCAAACAAAATAGTAAAAAGGGAGAAAAGAAAAGTATGCGTATACTTGAAAGGAGATATTCTATTGATTTTGAGAAATCAGCCTGTGAAAAAGGCATTTACATTTGGAAGCAAGTAATTACAAAATCAAAGTATACAAGTGTTTACAAATGGCAATGTGAATGTGAATATCCATCAAGTCCCAACTCTGCTATGACTCATATGACTCTCACACTTTCATCTTCCTGCTTTCAGACAGATCAATCTTGGATTAGCTTCGAGCTTATGCCAGGTGACAGAACAAAGGAAAGAAACAAACACTACAAGAAAAATGATAGATTGGGACGGTTATTTTGGCTGATTACGACGGTTAAAACCGTCGCAATTTACAATCTACGACGGTAGAAGTACCGTCGCAGAATCGTGCGTCCCCAGCCTATTTCGCGACGGTTGCAAAAACTGTCACGCACAACAGATGGCGACGGTTATATACCGTCGTGAATTTGACTTTATTTTTTGTTTTTGTTGTTGTTTGCGACGGTTATATACCGTCGTGAATTTGACTTTATTTTTTGTTTTTGTTGTTGTTTGCGACGGTTATATACCGTCGTGAATTTGACTTTATTTTTTGTTTTTGTTGTTGTTTGCGACGGTTATATACCGTCGTGAATTTGACTTTATTTTTTGTTGTTGTTGTTTGCGACGGTTATATACCGTCGTGAATTTGACTTTAACCGTCGTAATCTGATTTATAAATTTCAAATAATATTTTTATTTAAATTATTATTTAGTAAAATAATTTTAAATATAATATTATTTTACTATAATATTTTACTATTATATTTAAATTATTATTTACTTTAATATTTTTTTATTTATAGTATTTTTATTTTATTTTCTATCACTTTTCAACATTGTTTTGAAATGAGCAATCTAATTGTTTTGAAATATTTACTAACTCAGTATTATTAATTCAGTTGGGAAACCATTTGTAAAATAATGCAAGGAGACATTGCTTTTGCTATTGAAGCGTGAGATTTCCGTGAGATACAAGTACTTATTATTGGGAGAAAAGATTTATGAATTATTGCACATTGTAATATGCTTATACCACCTTATAACTTTGCTACAAGTTACCTATAACAAGTGAGATTTTCCGATTTTCAGGAACTATAACAAAAAGAGGTTAGCTCCGAAATCTCTTGATCATTTTGCAATCTTTGCAGCCATTTCTCTGACCAACTTAGCAGCTACCATAGCAGTCATTCCATCAACAGTATCGCGTTGTGGGTTGAGTTCAACGACGTCTCCAGCAACAACATCACCTTGAAGATTGTGTAGGATGTTAAGAACATCGCGGAAAGAAAGACCTCCCGGTTCAATATGAGACACTCCCGGAGCAAATTTTGTTTTCAAATACAAAAATAGTTGCATCATGCGTGAGAGAATAGAAATATCGACCTTGACAGCACTAGCAACATTTCTTCCCTGAGGCCTAAATCCACCTAAAACACTAATGGCCTGTGGTGTAAGACCAACATGCCCAATCACAGCTATTCCAGCTTCGACAATAGCTTTTGCTGCAACAATTCTTGAAGGTGAACCTCCTTCCAATTTTATGGCATCCATTCGTCCTTCTTTCAAAATCCGAACTGCCGTATCAACTGCCTGCTTGTAATCAAAACAACAACACTTAAAAACCACTTGGTATGGTTAGAAAGTTAAAACAGTTAAACAAATATACACCCCAAGATTATAAATTCCAATCAATTCCTTTCTACATTTCATTTCCAACTAACAACAATCAAACATGTCCCATTTCAAGTCATTGAAAAATACCAAGCTTAACAACCTAAAGGACCTGTGTGGGGTGGTGGAAACTGGGAAATCAAAACCCTTGCTCTTCAAAACCCTTGCTTAACAACCCATTATTATTTATAAACACATTCAAGGAAAGGTTCTTCGCTCTTCAAGACTAAATTTTTAAAGAGGCAGTTATGAACTGATAAGTAACAATATTACAAAGCCAAACTACATTATTATTTATAAGTATTAAAATTATCTGTCAAATAGAATCTGTAATTAGCTACGGCATAGTTATTTGGGGGTTCCTACTTATTCGACATAACAGACACACGTAGAACGACGTAAAATATTTGTTAGCAATAGAAAAGAAAAGAATTGAGGAAATGGAAACTAGGTAGTTAAGACTAAGAGATTTTAACAAAGTCTAGCAATGATTCGCTGATATTTCTTGAAGCAACGTACAAGTAAATACCTGAAAGTACAGTTTTTAAAGTTTGGGTTTAAATTCTTTAGTTGCATATTAATACCAAATTTTCAGGAGAGTAAACATAGTTATTCTATACTGAGTGTGGGATTAGCTTTGCATTATTTGGGAGTCATTTCATTTGTCAAGTGTAACTTTAGATTTTTCGGCAAGACAAACTAGAATCACCTATCAACATATAAAATATATATGTTCTGCTTCTCTTAGATGACAATCACCAAGACTATTTCTTGTCTAGTTAAGTATTAAAGTAGAATGTTATTGAATTTTTTCAGATCACAGTTTTGTGATTTCTCATAGATGAATATTCAGTAGAATTGCTAGAGCTATTAGTTGAATTTTTAGATCATATTTTGAGTAAGCCATTCAAATAACTATAAATGATTTAAATAGAAAAGGTCCCTACTAACCATCCACTATAATTTTCAGTCCACATTTTCGGTTTATTGTCAGAGTTTGGTGTGAATTGATCGCAGTAAAATCCATTGCATGTGTTAATCTGTGAGTATTTAAGATAGAATATTACAAAACTTAACAATCAAGTAGTAAGATAATCCAGTAAAACATAAACTGCATAAAACTCTCTGGATAGGTAAAAGGAGAAAACATACAATTGGATCAGGCGCGTTTACTTGCTGGCACATAACCCAGGGAACACCTGTATCAAGAGATGTAGCCATCGATGCTGCCCAATTGATGTAAGATTTACCAGCAGGACCATAGTGTATATCAACGTTTCCATACTCATTTTCAATCTGGCATACCAAATAACTGAGCAATAATTTCCTTAAAAAAAGAAAATTGGCTTGTATTTTGATGATTTTAAGAGAATGAAACCTGAGATAAAATGATAGGTCCTCCTTGTGATGCATAGAGATTCTCTTGCTTCATCAAATCCACAATCTTTGCTGTAAACCGTTTCATTTCTGCCTTGAATGGTTCATTATCAGTTCTGAACTTAATTCCCGGAATTAGTCTTTGTTGAACCCAATATCATGACACTGAATGAAACTTATGAGGTCTTTGAGAGCTAATACATTCAAGTATTTTTCTTGTTGAATATGACCAACAATTTTGAATCTGAGTGTAGCTTTTGTTTAGAATTTTGAATCCTAAATATGGATTCCATGTAATTTATAAATTGTTGTTGTAGTCCAAAACAGGAACCTGATTATTTTAGGGTCTGGCACTAGTTTTAGGTGATGTGTAATGGGAAGTAGCCACTCAAACCTTATACAAGTGGAAGAGGTTAAAAGAGAGATTTAATCAAATGAATATAATTTGAAGGACTTCATTAATCAAGGCACATATATATTTGAGAGAGTTCAGCATTGAGTGAGGAAAAACAATCTCAGTCAGCTCCTGGAAGAAGTTTCTGACTAGATTGCCTGCTGGTTGTTCCAAAACTTTTAACACCTGCAGGGATGATTCTGGATGGTGACAACACCTCTGCAAACGAAAATTTATACGAATCTGTACCTAATCTACTCTGTAACCACCCTTTGCCTCCAGAAAATCCATCACCAACGGTCCATGAGTTCTTAAATCCAAGCCTCGTTAGCGTTCTTGCAACTATCTTTGCTGAGTCTGAGTACCTATATATTAAGTTTTGTCCAAATATCACAAGTTAAACTAAAAATAAAGTTAATAAGTATTGAGAGTATGTGCAAAACGATATACTGGCACAACAACGATAAGCATTGTTACATTTAATAATTCCATTTTTGAAATTATTATGTGTCAGCATCGCGTCCGTGTTTGAGTCAGTAGTTCGTAGATAATAGGATGGATTTGTAAGGAAACTTACGAGTCCAAGATCACAATGTTGGAGCCTTTGTTGATTTTCTTTAGATATGAAATCTTTGGTCACTCAAATAAACATGCTTTGGTCAGAATCACACTCTGCAACAGAATATGATGCTTAAATGGTTATAAAGTCCTTTTACAACATCGCGGAAAGAAAGACCTCCCGGTTCAATATGAGACACTCCCGGAGCAAATGCAGGATCAAGACAATCCACGTCTATCGAGATATACACCCCTTTCACACCTTCCCCTAGTTTCTGCACAAGGAAATCACCAAGGTTTAAAAAGAACATACAAATGCACAAGTTAGTATCAATACATGCACACTCGGCATCAAGGGCACTTGTAGCTTCATCAAGAAGTAATATTTTTGGATCTTTCAAAATTGCTCTTCCAATTGACATCAGAAGTTCTTCCAGCTGTTAAGGATCCAACTAATGCACATACATTTAAGATTCCTGCTAGAATTTCTTGTTGTGTGTCCTGCTAGAATTTCTTGTTGTGTGTCATTGATATAGTTAATGTCATACAAAAATCCGTCAAGTCAAGTCACCTGTTCTTCATGCTGAATATAAGGCACCAAATATAATTGTGTTGCACTTCCATATTCAAGGCAAAATTCCTCGTTTGTTTGAATACCACACTCTGCAGAACTGGCAACGTAAGGTTTGTCCAGGGCAAGCATGCATCCTACTCTGTAACCCACCAAAATGGTGAATGTTACCACACATATAAGAAAAGAATTACTCATCTTCATAAGTTTGACAATGTGAGAATTACCTGAAAAGATTGGCAAGGAGAACCTGCTCGCTCCATAAGAAGAAATTTAATGCAACACCATCACCATCAACAAGAGTAATTTGTTTTCTTTGCGAGGTCCCAAAATTCCCTCGAATTTCCGCAGATTCAATATTTTCAATCCTGTAATCAATAAAAAAACTAGTGAGGGCATGCTTCCTTGTAAAAGGGAAAAATACCATTATTCAAGGTTATGGATCATGTTGACAAATGCATATATAGAGGAACATAGACGAACTAGTAAATGATTTAAACCTCATAGTTACACTTAGGTATCTTTATAAACAGCAAAATGGTGCCTGAAATAATTTTAATGACACAACTCTCAGTAAATTTACAACATGCTCAACAACAAACTTATGCAGCAAACAGAACATCCATTGCAAATAGTTTACCTGGCATAAAGTGAATAAGAAGCCCCATTGTTTACTGCCTCCAGCGAAATTGAAGAGAAGGAGTCTGAACAAAACTGAGCTCCTAGCAGCATTGCATCATCATCCTGATTCTACAATTTTAAAGAAAACAACAGGCTTTTCTTTAGTTGTATTGTGCAGTAAAAGTTAGTTTCCAGAAGCACGGGCTAGGCTCTGAACTTGAACTACTAGCATATGAAACGCTCAAATTTTAAGACCAAAATACAACTAAAGAAAATGATAGTTACCTCGTCTAATAGAATCACGAGATACTCTGTTGGCAAAAGACGTGGATGACCAGAACTTTCTGCGGTAGTTCGGAGGTAGCAGCCTGTGAGGAGAACCTCCCTCCCTTTCTTCAGAATTCCACTTGGCAGGCCTGCCAAGTCATAGAATCTGCTAGACAGAACATGATACGTCTAATTTTGAATAATATTGCCAATAAATAAGACTGCAGAAACTATTGATTTAAAATCATATGTTACACTAATGATTCAATACATGTATTTGGAGTTTTTTTTAAAAATACATGCATTTTATTGATATCGACGACCAATGACATCAGAAGTTCTTCCAGCTGTTAAGGATCCAACTAATGCACATACATTTAAGATTCCTGCTAGAATTTCTTGTTGTGTGTCACTGATTCCCAAATCCTCTTTTATGAAAATCATTGCTCCACTCATAACACCGGTATCTGAAATTAATCATCAATGTAGAATAGTTATTATAAAAAAATGACTCGATATAAATGATTGAATAATACATACATGACTACTAAATTCACGAATAGTCAATTAGTAGTCACACACCTTACATTTTACATAAAATATAATAAGATATATTAGAAAACCTCTCTTCAATTTTGTTGGATAGGGAAATGAAATTAAAAAAAAAGTGAAAAAGATTAGAGAATGTGATAATATTACCATAGCCAGAGACAATGGAAACCATTGAAGCAACAAGGGCACAAGCCAAAGCATATTTGTTCAATGATGTGTTTTGAACTTCTTTGTCACCTTGATCAATTATCATGATGATGATGATGATATTGTTAATGGTTTTCGGCAGTTTCCTCCGCGGCTCATAATGAATCGACAACGCATCTTCTTCGACGCTTCACCATGAAGAGTAACAATCCGCATCCTAAACCTTTATGCGTCATCGATCGTTTTCATCAACTGCAAACAGAAACAGAATCGACCGGATTCCGCGGAACTCATAAAAGAAGATATGGAAAAACAAGTAAGAAAGAAGAAGTAACGATACCTTTGAATCTTTCGTCGCCGAGAATCATCTTTACAACCGTCTTTGAATCCGTTGAGATCGGTTGTCTAACACTCTTCTTCCCATCCGTTCATGGTGTCGAGATGCAATTCTTGCTTCGCTGGGGTTTGCGTTTGAGCGTAGATAAAAGGAATGAAATGTCTGCTTAGATGAAAAGGGATGAAGCCCCGGGAATCGCCTGCTGAAACTCCTTCTCTGCCATTTAATTGCGTCTTGAAGCTCCTAAGGTTTCTACTGTTGATTAGATTTTGGAAGAACGAGGATTGATGAAAACCAAAGGCAGATTTGGAAGCGTGGCATCAAGACAAAGAGGACAAAGGGATAATTTCGAAGAATGGAAGCTTCACCATTCTAGGCGCAACATCGTACTTCCGGCGGTGGTTCTTTACTTCAATCGGATAAAAAGCTCTTTCACAAAACCTAATCCTCTTTCAATTTTGTTTGTTACTCCTATTTTGTTTTTTTATATTTTTATTTGTTGTATTTTGTTTATAATTTAATAATAAATATTAGTTGCTGAAAATATTATGATATTGTGTTGATATTATGATATTGTGTTGCTGAAAAAAAGTGGGAAAGTAAAAGAATAAAAAAAAGTAGCGATATTGTGTTGATAATCTAAGATCTTTTTTAGTACTAGACATTAGATAATATATTTTAGGGTTCATAATTTGTAAATCTAAATTTTAATTTCATGTTATATTTGAATGTGTTAATGATGGATATAAAATCAAATTTATATAAATCTCAAAAAAAAATTGTTTTACCGCGACGGGTGTTTTACCGTCGTGCCCATGAGAATTTTTAAAGGTTTTGGGTGCGACGGTTGTTTTACCGTCGTGAAATGAATTTTAGGACGGATAATTTTACCGTCGTGAAAGATTTAAGGGTGCGACGGGTGATTTACCGTCGTGATATGCCTTTTAGGACGGTTAATTTTACCGTCGTGACTAGTTGTTGGTGAAAAATCAATGTTAAAAGTGTTAAATGGGGGCCGACGGTTGTTTTACCGTCGTAATAATAATATTATGATGGTTAAATATACCGTCGCAAAATAAATATTAGGGACGGTTGGTGTCAACTGTCGTAAACACTGTCGCTATATGTCAATTACGACAGTTATCACATAACTGTCGCAATTTTTGTGTCGTTAAACACTAATTTTCTTGTAGTGAAAGGATCTCAAGCTGAGCATAGTAATTTGCTTTAAGTCCCTAACTTTTGCCTGAATCGCCCTTTCGGGTTTTCGATTCACCAGGACACCCTCTTTTTGCCTAAACTGCCCTTTCGGGTTTTCAGTTTAGCGGGTTTTTATTATTTTTATGCAAAGTATTTTTTAATTACGTCAGCATTTATAGGGAGAGAGAAGTACTCTCCATCCATAGTCGTGAGCATCATCGCTCCTCCAGAGAAAAATTTTCTGACCACGAAAGGACCTTCATAAGTCGGAACCCACTTTCCCATGGGATCTCCTTGGGGAAGAATTATCCTTTTTAGCACAAGGTCACCTGACTTGTAACACTAAGGCCGTACCCTCTTATCAAAAGCTCTCCTCATCCTTTGCTGATATACCTGACCATGACATACAACCGTCAACCTCTTCTCGTCAATAAGCTCTAACTGATCCATCCGATTCTGTACCCATTCACTTTCATCCAGCTCAACATCTCTCATGACCCTAAGAGAAGGAATCTCGACTTCTACCGGCAATACTGCTTCCATGCCGTAAACCAATGAAAATGGGGTTGCCCCAGTCGAAGTACGTACAGTGGTGCAATAACCATGCAACGCGAAAGGCAGCATCTCATGCCAATCTTTATAGGTTACCACCATCTTCTGTACAATTTTCTTGATGTTCTTATTGGCTCCTTCGACAACATCGTTCATCTTTGGTCGGTATGGGGAAGAGTTATGATGCTTGACTTTGAAGGACTAACAAAGCTCCTTCATCATCTTGTTGTTCAGATTAGACCCATTATCAATAATGATCTTTTCAGGCACTCTGTAGCGACAAATAATATTGTGCTTAATGAACCGAGTTACCACTTGCTTGGTGACATTAGCATAGGATGCAACTTTGACCCATTTTGCAAAATAATCAATGGCAACCAGAATGAAACGGTGCCCGTTGGATGCAGTCAGTTCAATTTTGCCGATCATATCAATTCCCCACGTTGCAAACATCCAAGGGGAAGTCAAGACATTCAAAGGTACTAGCGGCACATGCACTTTATCAGCATAGACTTGACATTTGTGGCAAACCCGTGCATGATTATAACAGTCAGTCTCCATGGTGGACCAATAATAACCTGCTCGCAAAATCTTTTTAGCCATGGTATGCCCGTTAGAATGGGTCCCGAAATCACCTTCATGTATCTCTTCAATGATTCTAGCCGCTTCTTTCTTGTCAACACACCTGAGCAGTAAACCTTCATGATGCCTCCTATACAACACACCACCATTGATAAAGAACTTGGCTGAAAATCTTCTCAAGAACTTCTTATCTGTGACGGATGCCTCTTCAGGGTACTCTTCTGTTTCAAGATATTTTTAACATCATAAAACCAAGGATTACCATCTAATTCCAAACTAGCCTCAAAACAGAAAGCTGGCTCACTCAAACTTTTGATTGTAATGGAAGGTGCCTCATTAGCCCACTTAACCTTGAACATGGAAGACAAAGTTGCCAGTGCATCGACTAGATTGTTTTCTTCTCTAGGAATGTGCTAAAACGTGATCTCTTAGAAGTACGAAATCAACTTCATAACATGCTCACGATAGAGGATTAGGTTCTGATGGCAAGTCTCCCAATCTCCATTAATCTGGCTGATAACAAGATTGGAATCCCCGTAAACTTTCAAAAATTTGATGCGCAGGTCGATCGCCGCTTCAATGCTATAAATGCAAGCCTCATCTTCGGCCATGTTGTTAGTGCAATCGAAGCAAATACGAGCCGTGAAAGGAATATGGTATCCCTCAGGAGAAGTGATAACAGCTCCGACGCTGTTTCCCATGGCATTGGAGGCACCATCAAAAACAAGCGTCCAACGTGACCCCGGCTCGGGTCCCTCGTTTGGGTCTGGTATGTTACAATCCCGAATATACACAATTCCCTCATCTATAAAATCAAACTTCATCGGTTCATAATTGTTCATGGGCTGATGAGAAAAATGGTCGGCCAATACACTACCCTTAATTACTTTTTGAGTAGTGTATTGGCTATCATATTCGCTGAGTATCATCTGCCAATGGGCTACTCTGCCTGTAAGAGCTGGCTTCTCAAAAATGTACTTGATTGGATCCATTTTGGATATCAAGTAGGTGGTGTGAGTTAACATGTACTGCCTCAAACGTCTGGAGGCCCAGGCAAGCACACAACAAGTCTTTTCCAGCAATGAGTACCTCGAATCGCATTCCGTAAACTTCTTACTCAAGTAGTAAATAACCTGCTCTTTCTTCCCTATCTCATCGTGCTGACCAAGGACACAACCCATTGAGCTCTCCAACATGGTTAGATACATGATTAGGGGCCTTCCTTCCACTGGCGGCATGAGTATCGGAGGTTCCTGTAAATACTCTTTTATTTTGTCAAAGGCCTTCTGACAATCCTCATTCCATTTCACTGTCTAACTTTTCTTCAACAACTTGAACAAAGGTTCACAGGTGGCTGTGATATGAGAAATAAATCTATAAATGTAGTTTAACCTTCCCAAGAAACCACGCACTTCCTTCTCTGTCCTTGGCTCAGGCATTTCCTGTATCGCTTTTACCTTGGCCGGGTCCACCTCGATACCTTTTTCGCTTACAATAAAACCCAACAGCTTGCCGGATCTCACCTCGAAGGTGCACTTATTCGGATTCAACTTCAGCAAGAACTGCCTCAGTCTCTCGAATAATTTTTCCAGATGGACAAGATGTTCCTCTTCCGTCCACATATACCTTAATCTCTTTGTGAATCAAATCATGAAAGAGAGTGACCATGGCGCGCTGATATGTTGCCCTAACATTTTTCAAACCGAACGACATCACTTTATAGCAAAAAGTTCCCCAAGGTGTGATGAATGTTGTCTTCTCCATATCCTCCAGAGCCATCTTAATTTGATTGTAACCCGAAAAGCCATCCATGAACGAAAATACTTTGGAGTGAGCAGTATTATCGACCAACACATCAATATGCGGAAGAGGGGAGTCATCTTTAGGGATGGCCCTGTTCAAATCCCTATAATCCACGCACATCCTGACCTTACCATCCTTCTTGGGCACAGGCATAATATTTGCAATCCATGGCGGATAATTGACGACCTTTAAGAAATTTGCGTCCAACTGCTTCTGGACCTCCTCTTTGATCTTCTTGGACATCTCAAGATGAGTTCTTCGGAGCTTTTACTTGACATGAGAACAACCTTCTTTGAGCGGTAGTCGATGCACCACTATGTCTGTATCCAACCCAGGCATATCCTCATAAGACCAAACGAAGATATCAGAATATTCACGGAGTAGCTCAATCAATATGACCTTTATAATTTCCTCGAGATCTGTCCCTATCTTGACTTCTCTTCTTACCTCTTCTGTGCCAATATTCACGACCTCAATAGAATCCTGATTCGGTTGGATAACCTTCTCCTCTTATTTTAACAATCTTGCTAATTCCTCAAGAAGATCACAATCCTCATATGCTTCTTCTTCATCTTGATAAATAGGAGTATCAAAGTCATAATGAGCCATATCAGAGTTGTTATCAATATGAT